TCTATGTCTTAGGTTTTCTACTACTTGCCAAATGAGAAAATGGCAGCCACTGCAAACAAACTTCATTTTAAAAGAGTCTAATTGATTAGAATTTAGTGGCCGGACTTGGACTATAAAAATTTAAAATTATGAATGAGAAAATACCGGTTAGCAATAAAAATTGCCAAAAATCAATGCAATTTTTAAGAAAACTGAAACCTGTATCTCAATATCCTAAAACTTAATGGGCTACAGAACTGCATAATTTTTTATTATTAAATTATAAAAAATTTTTTAGTCTACATAAATTTTGCACTAAGTATGCAAGTTTTATTTTTATAATTTTTATTGTAGTACAAACTATATTTTTATAAAAAATTAGCGAGAGGAAATTAGAATAAAAACTGTACTAGGACTTTGTTCTTACAGTGTATTTATTTATAAAGAAAACTCAATTTTTGAAACCGGTCTAGACTTAAGCTAGATGTAGAGACTACCCAGCTCCGGCTGAAGCGAAGTAGCAACTACCTCGAATCAATACTTTTTAACAAACTGACATTGCGCAGCAGTGTGGGGGAGAGCGCTAAGAAGGCCTCGGTGGCAAGCAAAATATGCTGATATGCGCTTAGGACTTATTGCCTTCTTTCTCCCTCTCTCTCTCTCTCTCTCTGTTATTAGACTGCACGGCAATTGGCAGCCGATAATGTTCCCTAGTGTACTGGTTTAGTGGACAGCAATGAAAAGGAAAATAGTTCTTTAGAAAAAAAGACAGTGCACCTATATTGACTATCCTTGATTTGCGTGACAGATGGACTAGGTACAAACCGACGGCACTATACACACAGGCGTCGGCCAAGAATAAAGCTCCCAAGGTGAGCACTTTCTGGACGGATAAACTACGACATCCCGGATCTGCACTTTGACGATTTTCAGAGCCACTCTATTCACCAGGTCTTAAGGCTGGCGTGAGGGCATGAGGTTGGCTGGCGCGGACATTGTTTACAAAGACAGAACGATCGGTAAGAATAAGGAAATCATCTACCGAGGCAACAAATTTAAACCATGGTTAATAAGAGGAGCTATATTTTATGTTCTGCGGGTGAATTTGAAATTATTCTTACGGATTTGAGGATAAAAAAATTTGGGAATTCCGTACCGAAGATAATCTTTTGTTATTTTTTTACATGTTGATATTTAAACACCACAACATTCCTCGACGTAATTATTTTCAATTTGCCTCAAAAGCAATTTCTTTACCTAATTTCTTGTTTTCACTCTTAGTCAGGTGCCGCTGCCACATGTTGTATTATTACAACCCCAACAACAGCTAACCATATGGTCAGCTACGAAGACAGTAGCTTGCCTTAAGCCTCGTTAGACAACCTCGATTGTACAACGCAACGCAAAACTTGCCTTAAACTTTTGCACAAACAACATTAAAGCCGAGTCATTTTTAAGGCTTCCGCAAGGCATAGGGCAAGCAGATGTTGAAATGCTGACGAACAACATAAAATTCAGTTGCCACTGGCGACTTGGCGTGAAAAGTGCTGCAGAAATAAATTCAGCAGAAACAATAGCTAAAACTAACTAAGTTACATTAAGTGAATTAGTGTGCTGGTGTGTTAAGTGCAAAAGGACCTTCAGGACCTCAGCAGCCAATAAACAACATGGCAGCAGCTGCACCAGCCGCGGCCGCAGCCGCCGCAACTGCAGCACCGACAAACATAGCCGAAATCGCTGGCGAGGCTAATATAATGAACTACATGAAGAATCGGCTGCGCAAGGGCGCCATGAAGCGCAAGGGTCTTATGGTTATAAATGGACATAAGTTCGCGGTACGCTTCTTTAAGCAGCCAACCTATTGTGGGCATTGCAAGGACTTTATTTGGTAAGCAGATTGGTGGACAAGTGAAGGAAAACGAAAAGTGGAAGTGAAAATTGTGTAACATATTTTAAGGCATTTTAGCGCGCAATTCGCGTTGGTGCCTGTGAGCGCCGCGCTAATTGAATTAGGCATTGCAGTTTTTTTTCTGTTGAGTGGAAACTGACGTTTTTCGCATTCATTTTGATATTTTCTTGTCCTTTTTTTAGGGGCTTCGGCAAGCCAGGATATCAGTGTGAAGGTGAGCTAAGCAAAGTATAAATCCTAAAATATATTTGCCACCTTCATTTCCCAATTCACACCCACCATGTTTGCGCATATTTTTTTTTTTATCTGCGACTTTTTACGCATTCCGCTTCGCTTTCAGATTGCCGCTTCAATATACATCAGAAATGCTGCAATTATGTGGTGTTCAAATGTCCTGGCAAGGAGACCGACATTGATGCTGATTGCTCGAAAGTGAAACATAAATGGGAATCGACCACATACACAACACCGACATTCTGCGATGATTGTGGCATGTTGCTGCACGGTGTGGCACATCAGGGCGTCAAGTGTGATAGTAAGTGTGCGAAGGACCTGTTAGACATACATATAAATATACGCAGCAATATGCTGTTGGTTGCTAACAATTGTATTGTTGTCTGCTTTGACTTTCCATTTTCTCCTCCGCATAGATTGCAATTTGAATGTGCATCACGCTTGCAAGGAGAAGGTGCCACCGCTTTGTGGCGCCGATATTAACGAACTACGTGGCAAATGTTTGTTGTATGCCGAACTCAAGGGCAACACATTGACGGTGGAAAGTGAGTTGGGCGTTTCTAATTTCGGAAATGGTTTTTG